TCAGGAAGTAGAACATGCGGCTAGCAAGATCGGCGTGGACGTATGTCCTCACCAAGAGGGAGCCAGAAGACGGAGAAGGCGGAGATGATGGCGGGATGGATGGCGACATCGGCAGCGAGTGACGACTTGCCGACGCCACCGAGCCCGTTGACACCAACGACTGAGACGTTGTTCGCACCGAGAAGGACATTAATGACCGCATCACGAGTGTCAGGGAGCGGGTGGAACTCGGGTGGATTGAGTGGCGGTGGCATGGGTGAGGGGCGGAGGGGTGAACTGGGAACAATGGCCTGGATGCGGTCGGCAAGATCGTCGACCATGTCAACCACGCTGTCGCGAGCCGGGGAGTATGGAGCGAGGCCGCGCTCGAGGAGGGCGTAGAGAGTGCCGATGCGGGCGACTTTGAGGTCGGGCGTGAGTTCATCGTGTTCCCAGAGATCCGTGAAGCGACGGTTGTCCGGGATCTGCGACGGGAAAGCCGCCGCCATGTACGCCAGTAGAGGGTGGCTGGCATCCCGCGGGCCGTCACGCCATGCCGGCGACGAGACGGTCTCGAGCGAGAGCTCAGCGTCGGCAAAAACCGGAAAGACCTTGCAAGTCGGATCAGCGAGGGCTGCGTCGGCCTCTGCGATGGCCCACCGTGTGACGATCGAGTACTTTGAGACAACGACGACCACAACGTGTGAGTCACGGGCAAGCCGGGCGCAGTCTGCGGGATCTTGGACAATCATGGCGTCGAGCGACTTGACGTCGAGAAAGACGCGTAGACCGAGGGCAACGAGCTTGTCGCGGAGCGAGAGCATGAGCCCCTTGTCGTTGGAGCCGTGGCAGAGGAAGACATCGTATGACTTGGTGGGGATCTGGCTGGTAGTGGAGGACGGCCCGGCTGGTGACGATGACGTCGCTTCGATATGAATGTTCTGGGGGACTGCGGAGGAAGGGGTGGTCGAGCTGGCCGAGCTGGCGCTGGAAGTGCGCTCGACTCGCCCGGGGTCGGCCGGTTGCCCTGCGCGGCGCTTGGCAGAACTACCAGCGGCATACTCCGAACCGCCCCCTGGGGCGGGGTCCATGGGCACAGTG